TTGCAAAAATGTTCCAATTTATATCTATGCACATCGTCACCTATATAGAAGGTCTATGAAATTTGAAGCGTTGCTGCAGTCTAAGCACAGTAAGGTGTGGACGAAACGAAAAAAAAAAAAAAAAAAAAAAAAAGAAGGGACATTTCGATAACAAACTGGGAAAGCAAAGTCCCACAATAAGTCATTTCAACATTGAACCTGTAAGATTCAGTTTATTAGTATTTATACATTTACACAATGAATAATTGAAGCTATAATGAATAAATTATACAACATATTATTATTTTGAAAAATGGTACTGCACCACCATAAAAATTTTTTTTTTTAAAAATTCGTATATTTCCGTTTATTTCGCATATGAAAACATCTGGTGTTTTATCAATTTAAAAAATAATGGTTTATTGTCCCATATCTATTATTATATGTACTATAAGATTATATATGAATATAATAAGATACTAGAGCGACTCGTGGCACAGAGTGGGACTTTGCAAATGTAGCAATTTGCTAAAGACCCCGAAAAAATCAACCATCGACGATAATTGGGTCAAGCGCAAGAACAAGTCTAAAGTTGAGAAATTTTTATTTTTTAGAAGATTCTAATACGGCAAGTAGACGTCAGACCTCACAAATGAAAGTATCAGCAGATAGCCAAGGTCAATGACCTTTGATCTTGTAAAGTAGAAGGCTTAAAAAGGTCAAGATCAAGAGATATACGCCATTAAAATTTCAAATTGCTAACGACTATAAAACCAGAAGTTGACTTAGAACAGCAAATATAAAAGTATAAATAGATAGCCAATGCCAATGACGTTTGATCCTACAAAGGTCAAGGTCAACAAAGGTCAAGGTCAAAAATTGAAAATTTTGAATTTCCAAAACCTGTTCCTTTTTTTGAACTATGAAGCGGAAACAACCAAAATTCTAAGACAAAGTGGCTTAAAATATGAGGTAATTGTGTAAAAAGTTCCATTTTGAACAAATGTATACTTTGCGAGTTATGCCCCTGGCTAAAAATGTCAATAATGAGTAATTTAACCCGGAAGTGCAACGCCCAACTCAATTTTTTTTGAATAAATTAATCAATATTCAAAATGTTACGTTATGTTCCAAATGTCAAGTTCCTACATAATAGAGGTCAAAAGATATAGGTCAACAAAAGTCAAAAAAGGTCAAAATAGAAAAATGAAAATATCCAAATGTTAAAACCCGTTCCTTTTTTGAAACTATAAAGCTGAAACAACTGAGCTGTTAATACATACTGGCCAAAAGGATGAGGTAATTGTGTGCAAAGTCTCTTTTTGAACAAACGCATCCTATGCGAGTTATGCCCCAGCCCCAAAATGTAAACAATTAGTAATTTAACCCGGACGTGCCACGCCCACATAAGTTTTTTTGTCATAGGTGAATTCATATTCAAAGTGTCTAGTTATATTCCAAATATCAAGGTTCTACATCANATAGATCATAAGATATACACATACCAAGCTCAAAAAGTCGCAAATATTGTAAAAAAAAAAAACTCAAA